GTCGGGGCCCATCTCTTTCCCCCCCCGCAAGTCAAAAAAAAAAAAAAAGCCCTATCTTACAGAAAGTTCCTTTCACTCTTCAAGCATGAATAGCTGAGAACTGAAATACAAACTGTCCATAGCTTCAAGTGACTAGTCAGGAATAGTCCAAACATAGCACCATTTTCTGGAAGGCCAGACTTCTTCCTTGTCCTAGTTCTGTTATAGCCAGTCCCGGCTCCCTCTGTGCTGGAGGAAGCTGTTGCTGTAATCTGCTCTTTAACCCATCCCAGGGCGGGGGTGAGCCTGGCTCCTGGCTTAATTTTCTCTTTGGTTGCTGCAGCCCTTTTTCTCCCTGTTGTGAGAAGATGGGGAGGGGTGCGGGCAGGATGCTCCTGGGGGGTGAGGATCCATCGCAAAGTACTGAGGGCTGCCTTGAGGATCCTTCCATGGGTTGGGAGGAAAAAAATACATTTTATTGTCTAAGAGCAGGTTTTGCAGGATGCCTGAAGGCAGCTGCAGGTTGCTGCTCAGCTGGAGAAGTGATCAGCAAAGCCCAGAGCAGCAAGAGTGGATTCTGGTGCTGCGAGCATCCAGCCACCCGCGAGCTGGCGGGGGGAGCCTGGTCCCCTCTCCCTGCCTGGACGGCTGGTGGCCCACGCTCCTCTGGCAGGGGAAGGAGCTCTTGCCACATCAGGGTAACGTGATGCAGCCGGCTGGCCTCAGTGATCCCTGTGGTCCGGCCCAGCCTGCGTGTATCCGTGTCAGGGAGCTCATCCAGTTTGTATGGAGGAGAAAGGGCACCCAGGGCACCTCTGCTGGGAGCTCCGTTGTGGGGCGGAGGGGGCCGGGGGGAATCACGGTGCAGAAGAGCAAGGGATGACCTGGAGATGGGTGTGGTGTGGAAGGATCCATGAGCTGCAATGCTGAGCTGATAGAAAAATATGTTCCTCTGCTATAAGTGCCAGAGCTGGTCAGATGGAGGTTCTTTAATTTTTTTCTTCACCCTTTCTGGTCATGAAGTCCGTGTTGGCTGAGCAGCAGAGGACGCCTGTGTGGGCTCCCTGGGAGAAGCAGGTTTTGTGTGCAACAGCCCCACGGTCAAGGTATCAGCTCTGTAGGACAAGGCTGGAGTTGTGCAGGAACATGTACAACCTTTTCCAGCCTGCACGTTTGTAGGAAACCAGAGTGACCCTAGGTAAATCACTTCAGTTTTCATTTTCAAGAGGTCTTCTCAAAGGTGCCCTGCCCTCCTCCTCCCCAGCGTTCCACATCGGTGCGGGTCCCCGGGGCTGAGACGAGGGAAACCATGTTCACAGTTTAAATCCAGGAGAGAAGGAGAGTTGAGGACAGGACTGCTCCATGCCTAGCTTGGCCTCTGCAGAGACCTATGGATGCACATCTTTTTGGGAAGACGCACGTTTTCCATACCCCTTCACGTCGGTCCCAGGTGTAACCAGAGAGCACAGCAAAGCGGGACCGCAAAGCACGGCAGCCCCGAGGGACCGGGGGCCCTCCCCCAGGTGCTGCTGCGGCAGGTTTTAGCTGCTCAGCGTGGTTCCTCGAAATCCGGCAAGGGACAGGGCGCAGCAAGAGGAAACGCTGCAATCAGATGAGCACCATGACAGTGGATCGTTCAAAAATATACATACACATACCATATATATATATATGCATATGGGTGTTTTCCTAGCGCGTATCCTCATACGCTCCGTAAGGCACGTGCGTTTGCATGTAGTGAGCTGCCGTCTCGGGGAGGGGAAGGCAGTTCCCAGGGGACTGTGTGAATACGTGGGTTCTCTGAAATCCTCAATTCCTGGGGTGAGTTTTGTTCCCTGTAAGGAGCTCTGGCTCTGCTCAGTCCCTGGATTAAGACACAGGTGGTTTTTAGGTCAGAGAAACTCTGTTCCTCAACTGACAACTACAGGGTTTTATTCTTCAAGAAGCAATAAATCCACAAAAATAAAATTAAAAAACCCCCAAACTTTCCCACCTCCAGCTTCCTCCTGAATTGTCCTTCTGGGGTGTTCAGCCCAAGAGCCAAAGCAACACCCCTGGCCAGGAGGCAGTGACACTGCTGCTCCAGGGTCAGGATAGCTGCTGAGCGTCAGGAGGCAACTACCGTAACGGCAGAGTTACGGAAAAGTGGGGCTGACAAGACTTTTTAAAAAAAAAAAGGGGGGGGGGTTTTGTAGCAGCTTTTAATTTATCTTTTCATTAAAAAAATTATCCCAAGAACTCCTGTCACTTTGGGGCAAGTCCGTGTGATATAAGTTAATCCTGTCCTTCACGGGGGGGAGAAGAAAGAAGGGCATGGTGACACAGCTAGTGCTGCTTCCCCTCCGCCTGCTCTTCCAAGTGGCCGACCTGCTCTGCCAGCTCGGAGACCTTGGCTTGGCAGTCAAGCAGGTTGTCCTTCAGTCCCGTTATTTCCTGAGAGTGGGCAGCCAGGGTCCCGTTCATGTGGTCCATGTAGTCCCAAAGACTGCCTGTGTGTTTCTCCAGTTCGTCCCTGATGCCATCCAGGCTTCCCGTGACAGCACCCAGCCTGCCACAGACACTCTCCACCCGAGCCACCCGGTCATCAAAGTGAGCGATCTCCCGCTGCAGGTCATGGGCCACGCTCTTGCAGGAGCTCAGGTCACTGACGATCCTGGCTTTGAGTCGCTCCAAGTCTCCCTTGAGGTTCAAGACACGTCGGTTGCTGAAGAAGAGCTGGGAGCCTTGGTCGTTGACTTTCTCCTGGATGGAGTGGACCTCATCCTCAATCTTCCGCTCGTGCTCATCCAGCGAGGAGTTGACCTGTGTCACGGTGTCCGAGTACTGAGAGACGGAGTCCTTGAGCCCCGTCAGAGATTTGCTCACGGTGTTGAGGTTGATCTTTAGCAAAGTGATCTCCCCTTGCAAAGCCCCCGATGCTTCCTCCTCGATTCGCCGCTGGATCTCCAGGATGGTGGCGTTCAGCTTGCGCAGGAGGTCGTAGTTGCTGTCCATCCGAAGGAGCAGGTCCTGGTTCTTGTTCTGGCAGTCTTCAATCTCTGTCCGGAAGGTCTCCACGTCTTTGGAGGCGGAGGTGCAGCCCAGGGAACAAGTGCTCTCCAGCGTGATGAGGCGATTCTGCAACACCTCCAGTGTCTCATCCGTGCGTTTCCTCATGCTGGCAAGCTCCCCCTCCAGCACGGGCACCACTGCTCCATCCATGCCCACAGGAGAGCTGACATTGTTCAGCTCCCCCACGATGGTCATGAACCTGTCCTCCAGGGTTTGCATTTTGTCTTCAAAGGCAGTCCTCATGCCATCCACCTCTGCCACCACCATGCCTCTCATGCTGTCCTCTATACCAGAGCAGCAGCCCCCCGTTTCTCTCTCTGTAGCATTGACTCTAGCTTCCAAGTCCTCAAAGCGCCCTTCAAAAAGGTTCCCTAGGGTGACAGTGGAGATTTCTCCATCCAGCCGTGAGTGCAAGTTCTTCTGGGACTCAGAGATGCTGTGAAGGCCTTTCTCAAGGATGTTCATGCGATCAGTGAGGTAGTCCAGGTTGCTGCAGCAGCTTTCCACCACCGTCAGCCCTTGGATTTGGGTCTCCAGCTGGGAGATCTCTTTCTTGATCTCTAGCTCCTTCCCATCCAGCGTCTGCTGCAGCCGCAGATTGGCAGGTTTCTCCTCCTCACACTGCTGCCGCACCTCTTGGATCCGAAAGTCGCACGTGGTCTGGATCTTCCCCAGCTTCTTCTCAAAGCCGTCGAGCAGCTCTCCACGCAGGTTGCTCAGCCGC